CGTGATGTTAAAGAAGAAGAAGAAAAGGGCCAAGTTCCAAGATATGCATTTGCCAAACAAGGAAAGGTTTCTATGTTTCTCTAACCTTATTTATTCTTTCCATTCTCTCACTACTTACCCATCACTCTCATCATTGCATTTTCCTCTGACCATTAATTCTTGGAATTTACACAGTTTCCACATACAGTATCTCTTTGTGTGTTTCACTACAAGCCCAACATTATCATTGTTGTGGTCTCTTTAAGGCCCATTTACTAGGAGTACACACAAGGCATGTTTACTTCAACCAACTCCAGGAGGCTTTGATGTTTATACTCTATAGCTTATTTCAAACCAGAGACCCACTTTTCAATTAACATATCTGATAATTTCCTTTTATATTCCCCCATCTTGTCTCTAATGTCATATTGCTCTCTACAAATCATTTCGTTTTGTCTCTAACCCACTTTTTTAAATTTGTGTGCAAACCTCAAAACAAGAAATGTTAATCCATCAGGTCGACCCGCATTTTAAATGAACTTACGTTTGTTTTTATATACAAGAAATGTTAATCGATCACTCTCACCCCCTTTCTCATCATTGCATTTTCGTCTGACCATTAATTCTTGGATTTACACATTTCCACATATCTCTTTGTGTAGCCATATACAAGGCTCTCATTAGCTTCAAGTAAGCTCTCCATTATGTATTTAGTCTATATATAGCTTATTCCAAACTACTCTATTAGAGAGAGAGACACTTTTTAATTAGCATCTCTACTTCCTTTTATTTTCACCCCATCTTGTATCTCATTCCATATGTCCTTTTTTTTAACAATGATTTACTATGAAAAAAAAAAACTTGTTAATCGATCAGGTCGAGCCACATTATAAAATGAATTTACGTTTTCTAATCATCTACAACTTTGACCACAAAAAAAAAAAGTCATCTACAACTCACACAAACGCATACCGCATAACTTAAATACATATGTACTATAGTATAAATTATCTGTCTTCGTAGATTAATCTACATTTTTTAGTTCTTACAAATTTAAAAGGGTTGGTGCGATAATTCTACGGTATTTTACTTCCTGTTCTTTTGTCAGCTATAGTATCTTCCTTTTTACTTTTCAAATCAAGTAAGTTAAGTTAAGTATTCTTTTGTTTTCTTAGATAATTTGGGTGGTAATTAGGTCGTGTTAGTCAAACTAAGGAACGTTTGCTTGAAATTGAAGCAACCCCACATCTAATTCTATCTTTTGTGTGCTGAAAAAAGTAAAATTGCTTTCTCTGCTAATTAAGCATATTCTAAAAGCCCATTGGCACCAAGTAAACCTCTTCCCACACACAATTACACTGACTTGTTCACATTCACTTTTCACTTAATGCTTCCTCATCATTTCCTTATTTATTTTTATTTAATGCAGGTAACTTTGTTAAATTTTTTTCCTTGATTACATTTGAAAACCAAGGATTGCTTCTATTAAAAGCAAAAGAGGACATGTTTATGGTAATATGTGTTATTTGTGTGGGAAAGAGGAGAAACTTAGATTGCCTTAATCGATGTTGTCTTTTTGTGGATTGTACATTGGAAGATGGTGCACATTGCACATGTGACTTGTCTTTGACCTTCTCCACCAATTTTTCTTTTAAAATATAGGTGTCTATAATTTAACTTACAATTGGTAGATGAATCAATACAAGTTTTGTAATTTCAATCATTGTAATGTTCATAAATACATACCCATGTTATGTTTCCACTCTGTCTTTTTATTGCATAAGCTATGCTCAATATTTTGTGTTTCTTACATTGAGCCTTTTTGTTGGCACACATGACACATATATCTTTTTACATAGTTGAGAAAGTTTTGGGTATTTTGTTTTCTTCTAACAATTCATGAAACTCATTCAACTATATGGTATCATATCTACGGTTTTTTTTGTTTGTCATTTACAACTCACACACATATAATATCTAGACTTTGAAGTTTGAACGATTATGTTCACGATCTTGGTTTCCAAATTATTATTTTACATAAACAAATACAAAAGTATGTGGCAGTGACAATAAATGTCTCTATATATTTAAAACTAATGGTTCGACACGAACAACTTTAGCTTCTCGACACCCCCATGCGATGGCTTCTTCGTTTTTCCAATTTATTATAGTTTCAAATTCAACTCTTTCTTTTGTCTCTTTGTTCTATCTAACACACTAGTTTATTATTCACATAAGAGATCAATTGTTATAAGTTAATACAGAATACCCCCATATATATTGTTTGATTCTATAATATATATATTTAGATGCTATGGATTCTTACTTCGTTTGAAAAGAAAGGGAATCAAGTTCTCATACAAGAAAAAAAAATATTCCTCTTTTCCATTTAATTAAACTTTACTTCGTCTTGCACATCACTTTACATCCATGATAATGTTAAAAGACATTCAAGTAAGAAAAAATGAACAAGTTTGACATATATTTGGTTTGATTAAACGAAAGTTTCTGGCAATCTCCACTCATTCAATACAACAATTTTCAGATCAAAATGAGCTGCCATAGCTTTCTATTACATATTTTCTCTAACAAAATGAATCAAGAAGTGGAATTTGTGTTTTTTTTTTAATAGCTTGAAAGAAACGCAAGTAGAGTAGGTTAGGGTTAAGGAGCTTGTCACATCTCAATGTTTACATATTGCTCCTCTAATATTCACTACTCATCA